AATAATAATTTTTTTATTTTTCAGAAATTGGTTTCAAAAATTACAGTTTGCCCCTAAAGTTTAAAAAATTTGAACTTTTGCCCCCAAAAGTTCTAGAAATTACAAAATTAACCCTAATGATTTTAAATGCTTATACTATGTACAAAATACCCTTAAAAAGTGTCAAAAATTAGGAGTAATAATATTAAAATAATATGAACAAATGATTGTTATCACCCTTCTTTTTATTGTGTTTTTGAAGTAACTTTTTTTTTTTTGACAAAGATTGCTTCCGTGTACCCTTCCATGTTAATTCACATCATTTTATTAATATAAAAGAGCATTTTGAAGGCTGCAACAGCGACACATGCTCAGTTGATATTGTTTTGTCGTTGAGTTCTTTCTTCTCTTTCAAATCATTTTCCATATTACTTCTGAAGCAAAGAAAGATAGGCGTAAGAAAAAGAGTAGCATTTGAGTCCTCTGAAGAAAGACGTGGTGATGGAAACAAAGTCAAAAGGGACAGATTGAGTGCGTTCATTTTACAAAAAGGACATCGAATAACTGATATAAGTTATTAGTCATAGTAAAAAGTAATCTAATCCTTTCTTGAAACATAACGTAGATATTTTACCATTATTAACTTTTCATTTCATTATCCGCACGCAAAAAGCTTCATTTTAACATTCACTATCCGCAAACCTCTCATAGTTCACAATCGCCGGTACGTAATCGTTGTTAGAGCAAAGGAGAGTACCAAAATCAATAAATTTGCATGGACCACAAAGAAGCCTAATGGAGGAGGCAAAATGAGATACCAATTAAGCAAAAGCAGGAACAAATATCTTCGTGATCATTCATTTCCCAGAGCATGCAACTCCTTTTCACGGGGTTAGAGTTCCTTCTTCCTCATCATTCATGCAGGCGCCTCCTTTGTTTATTTTGAATATGGAATGAAGGAAGGAACAAATATCTAGAAAATGGCACATGAGTCCTGGCTGGGCACGCAAATTCAGCTCCGAATTCCCTTGTAGATCACTGCTCTCTGCCACAGCTTCCAGCTGGTGCCGTTGTTCTGAACCAACCTCAGCACTTGGAGTTGGAGCTGCACTAATCTGTAGGCAATCCCCAAGCCCATCAAAATTGTGATACTCTGAGCCTGAGGCGTATATTGGGTACACCAGGACTCTCGTCACTTGTGTCTTCACTCAAACATTCTCAATGAGTCCCTCCCAAAACAAAGTAAAATATTAAAGCAACCCAAAAGTAACTCTAGCTTCTACGCCGAGTCTATAGCCACTCTACAAGCATCATTACTTACTCCCCATTATCAGGACCCTTAGTACGATAACTTTAAACAGCTGGATCTTTCCTCTCTGACCCTTGTCTCCCCCTCAATTACCTCTCATATGTTTTGATAAATTTTCCAGCTCTATCAGAATCAAAAGTAGTTCCTCTTCCCTTCGCTTTAGGTTCTGCAACTCTCTCTCTTATGTTTTCCTCCAAAAGCAATGGAAGGAAGACTTTGATTCCATGAACATGAAATTGCCAGCGTTATTGAAGAACTGGTTCTAGCAGATGTTGTATTGTTGTTCTTATAAATATCTCCATGTCCATTTCCCTGGTTGACAGTTGCTGTGACAATCTGAGGCATATATCGGGTATACTCCACACTCTTTGATGAAGTTATGATGATTACCGAAAGAGAATTTGAACGAAAGCTTACGGTTACAAGTGGAGGCATCATGATTTCTTCTACTCCCTTCAATTCTCTTCAATATCAACTCAGACAGTTCTGCATCACTCTTCAACAAAACATTACCTGGAGTAAATTTTGCATCTTCTGGTTTAAAAAGCCAAAATGTTTCCATTTCTTCATCATCATCGACACTGTAAAACAGAGGGCGGACCCCTCACATTCCTTCTTTGAGATAAACTGAGGAATGACACAGCAGAATACAACCCCCAACAAATTGTCAGAATCTAAGGAGAGTTCCATGGTTACTGAATTCTTTGGTGTCCGATTATCCCCAAACCATTTGGGGACCTTCTTCCCCGGGTAATATATTGTAACATCTTCCTTATTATGCACAGCTTGCTTCAATGACAGCTCCACTTGTTTTCTTATGGCACCAAGCAAATGCGACTCTAATTTCACACAGTTAATCAATGAAAAGATTCTTTTGCCATGTTTCTTTAACGTGCCTGAAATTGTTGATGTAGATACTGTCTCCAATGATGTGCAATTATAGGCAATCAAGTTTCTAAGGGACTGAGTTCTGGTAGAGACTGAAGGCTAATGCAGTCTTCTAAAGCAAGATATTGAAGCTCTGAAAGATGCCTGATATTGTCTGGGAGTTCAGTTAAGTTTGACCATTCCTCCAAGTGTAGCTTTTCGAACAGTCGCAAGGCATCAACTAGAATATTTAGCTTTGCTTCATCTACTGAGTGACTGCATTTGCGAAGACGAAGTACCACAAGAAATCTAAAACAAGACAACTCTGTCAGTTGAAGATTCCCAAGACTTGAAGCATTGCGATGGAGACTTTTGAGATTTCTAAGGTGTTCAATTGAGAAGGAATGCATTGGAAAAGAGTTGATTGAAAGTGATGTGCAATCAGCGGCATCTAAGAATTCAAGGGATGGTGGTCGGTGGAAGCTCCGGCAAATATTGAAGATTCTTGCATCCTCTTAAATCAAGCACTTGCAGTCTTGAGAGTTGCCTGATATTGTCTGGGAGCTCAGTTAAGTTATAGCAGTTGGGAAAAGCCGGATTTTGTATACAGTATTGTGAGGCATCAAATAGCATTTGGAGCTTGTCATTGTCAATTATATGGCTGTAAATCCTTGAACATTCAAGAGATCTTAGGCTGCCTAAATCCTGTATGGGAAGATTCTTCAATTTTGAACCATCAAGTTGGAGTGATTTAAGCTTTCTACAACGCCCAATTGATGGGGACAATATTTTTGCTCCAGTTCCTGTTAAATCTAACTCTGTTAGTTCTGCTGAAGAGATGGAGAATTCCTCAAGATCAGAGCAGCCAAAAATGTCGAGTTCTTTGAGAGATCTTAGATGAGTCTCACTTTTGAGGCACTTAAGGCTTTGGTAGCCAAATAAATTCAAAGAAACCAAACTGTGAAGAGATAAGAACGAGGGATGAACATTAGACAACATAACACACAAGTTCAGATCTACGCTTTCAAGATTATGAGCCTTAGAGAAATCAGGTAACTCCCTCAAGTTCCAAAAACCTTGAAGATTTAATCTTCTTAAATTCACAAGATCCTGGAACAATTAAAAAAATACAAATATTAAACAGGAAATATCTTAAATTTTAATTTTAATATATAGACACACACACACAGACATATATATGTACCTGCACTTCTGCCCAGAGTGATTGGACATGGCTCGATGCCGTTATAAGTTCAATAAGATGCTCAGCAGAAAAATTTGATGGCATGGACTTCCCTGGGCATCCATCCCATTGAAAGTACCTTATTCTACTTGAAATCGACTTAAGACCTATTGGAATATGCACATTGTGTGACCAATCAGATCTTGGTGAATAAAATTTGAGAGTTCTTATGTTCGTCATTCCTTTAAAGGCATATGCAGTTAAAGGTAAATCTCTAATTTGAGACATGTCCAATTTTATGCCTTCAACTTCTTCTGTTCCCTAAAAATTACAAAAGTTTACAAAATTTAGAAGGATACTAAACTAAGCCATAAGGTGACAATTCTTCTGAAAAAAAAAAAAGAGTAATTAAAGGTATCTAATTCCTACCTCACCATTTTTCAATACATCATAGATTTCTCTAGGATCCCATAATTTGCTGCGTCTTCCAGGTTTTTTTTTTTTTCACTCTCCCTTCAAACAATTTTTAAACCCATTTCTTATATCAAGTCATGCATCCCAACTTTCCCATCCATAATAACAAGAAGAGCCTTATCTAAAAGAGTCTGCATGCTGCTAGTTGGATAGAATTCATAGCTCTCTAAATGTTCTCTAACAAATTTTACATTTTCACCCTTCAAAAAACATGCAATGTCTAAAAACATTTGCTTCTCTTTATCATCTAATCCAATGTAACTCAATTTTAAAACCCGCTGAATACGATCATTGGGAGTCCTCTTTAAGTTTCCAATAAACAATCCCATACTTCCACATTTTCAGAGTGAAGAAGTGAACCCAAGACTTTCAAAGCTAGGGTATTGTGTTTAGTATAATCTACAAACTCTTCTATGAGTTGTTGATATTCATATCCATGTCCTGAATGGTCTGATCCAAAGGCCTCGCGTTTGAAAATTTCAAGGGTATTGTTAGAACTCAATCCCTTGGCCTCATATACTTGATAACCTCTTCCACAAAACAATTTCGGGTCCGTTTGGATTTCAGTTGGGTATAATAGATTATAAAAATAATTGATTAAGTGGTAGATTTTAATCATAATTGATTATGTTATAACGTAATCTGTTTGGATACTGTTTTTTTAAAATTAATTTTAACAGAATTGAAGATATTTGAATAATTTAATCAAAATTAATTTTTAACTATATAAATTACTATATAATTTAATTTTTAAATATCAAATATTAATTTTTTAAATATATAAAATTTAAATTTTATTAAGGAAAAAAAGAAAAAGAAGAGAGTTTAATTTTATTTTTATTAAATTATATGCTTTCTTTGTAATTTTTTCCTGGGCTTGTTTTTGTAATTTTTCCCAACGTTTTTGACAAACTTTTGGCAGAAAGCGGATGGAGGGAGCTTCTGGAAAAACGTGCATTTTGGCCCATAATCAATTTTTGATCATTTTCGACTGTTTAGATAAATTGACAGAAAAAATTGATTTTGAATTCAAAACGCGCGTTTTCTCCTTATCCAAACAGGCACTTCCTATTTCTTGATGTAACTTTACTGTGTTGTCTCAAGCAATAACATACTTTATCCAGATCATCCAGTTGGTCAAAATTATTTACATCATCAAGCACAATGAATGCTTTGTTATTGCTGAGCCCTCTGGTGACAAATGCATCTCCTGGAGGTCTTGATGAGTTCCTACGCTTATATCCTTTCACTAGTAGCTCTGAGACAAGAGTCATGCGTACATGTTCTAATCCATACTTGTCTGATTTTTCCCTTGTGCTTTCAAGAAGGCAGCAACTTTGATTCCGAGAAGATAATCTGGCAAATACAGCCTTGGCCATTGTTGGTTTCCCTGTCCCGAATTCCAACCTTGCAGTACTTTTCCAGCAACTCCGCAAGGGGTTTAATAATTTCATCAGTGCCAACGCAATCTTTTGATGTACTTGGATACATTTGATCCAACTTTTTTTCAACATCACTGACAATTCCTTGAATGAAATCTGAATCGTCCCTTTTGAACAAGACAAAAAGTAAAAATCATTGCGTAAAACATAAAATTAAGAAGTTAAAGCAACACATTTATATAACAAGAACACTAATTAAATAGGAACATACACTCTATGTTTATTTCCCTTTCACTTGAAAAAGAACATTTTGATAACGAAGCCATGCCATTTTACTTCGCGTTTCGTGTTCAATGTACATAGAAGTATCATTGAAAAAAAAAAAAAATGAAAGACTTACACTTGAAACTTCCACTAAAAGATGGTTTTGCGTCTAACCATATGATCAAGACCTAACTATAGAGTAAAATAAAATTAATTAACTTTACTGTTGTTAAAAAAGATAATTAATTAACATCTTTGACTTATAAAAAATTTAATTTTCTAATTTTTTTTAAATATCATTCAAAGATCACTTAAACAACTTGATATCAAGTAAGGATTTCTTGGATATCGTTACAAGATTAGAAGATTGATTTGAAAATAATTTTAAATAAAAAAATTATAACATTAGATTTCTTTTTTAATTAACAAATAATCATTCATTAAAGCTAATTAATTAACCATGATTGAGGGCTCATTTGGATTTCAGTTGAGTATAATTTGATTATAAAAAAATTGATTAACATGATTGATTTTGATTATAATCGATTATATTATAATGTGATCATGTTTGGACACTATTTTTTTGAAATTAATTTTGATAAAATTAAAGATGTTTGAATGATTTAGTTAGAATCAATTTTAGATATAAAAATTACAATAAAGAACATTGCTTTTGAAAATTAAAATGTTGATAAAGTTGTATATAATGTTATTAAATTTGTTCAACTTTATTTAACAAGGAAAATATATTATTTAACTTATATACCTAATTAATTATGAAAATTTTATTTAAAAATAATATTAAAAATAGAAGGATCATTCATAATTTCAATAATTAACATTATAATATAATATTTTATTGATAGTTGGAGTCTTGGTATTATATTATAATATCAAAACCTCATATTGTTGTAGGAGGCTTAAGAATGAGAGCTTGGGATGGCGGAACAGAAGTAGGAGATGGGTGGAGGATAAGCTGTGCATAGATTTACTAGAGAGAAATTATCAAATAGTAGGAGGCATATTGATAATTTAATTGGTGTAAAAAATAATAATAAATGCATATGATGGCAAAATTGAAAACATAGTTAACACATCTATAATAAATGCATATGATGGCAAAATTGAAAACACAGTTAACACATCTATGTTTTCTACTCTAGTTAAGGATCATCCTTGTATAAAAAATACCTTATTGATCAAGTAACACCTAGCACTAAATAAATAAATAAAATCTGAGAATTTTGGCATGTTCATATAAGACGTGAAAGCATATATTTGACAGAAACAAAAAATTTATTTTCACACTGAAAAGAAAATCAAAGAGTCTGGCATTACTGAAAGATAATAATGTTCAAGGGTATATTTGGCAGGTGGGTATTTCTAGCAAATAATAAAATGCTCATAACAGGAAAATTGAAATTCAAAAACCGCTCCTCAATTTAAGCCAAAACTTGGTTTTGAGTCAAATAATTGATTATGAGCAAACACGGGTGTTTGGGTATTTTTTACCCAGACCATGATTTTACCCAAAATAATTAATTATTTTTTGCATCCAAGCAGGCACTGAAATGTTACAGTTTAAGAGTATTGAAGTGAGACACATACCTGATTAAGGTAAGCAATCATACACAGAACTCAGGTTAAAGGCATTGAAGACGTCTCTTTGAAGAAGGGAGTTGCTGGTCTCATCAATATTTCGAGTTCGGGGCATCTTTTTTCCTGTAGTTTACTCCAACTTCATTTTATTTTCTTGAAGGAACTGTTTGTATTCTGATTCATACATTAGACGGAATCCACATTCTTTGATCAAGCAATCCCCAAACTCAAATTCAAAAGTAAGCACTTGCTTGAATATTTCAGATTTAGGCATTGAGCCTTTTCTTTCAACAAAATCTATCACAGATTCATTAAAGAAGGGATCATACCATAGGAAAACATTATCCGAGTTCCATTTTATCATTGAATAATGCCATCCCTTTGGGCCTTCTTTATAAAACCTATCCTCCCAGTAGCAAGCAGATCTTGAGTGACTTCGATCCCTTTCCTTTAAGGAGAATTGAGGAATATAAAAGCAGAAAATGAAACCCCACCATATACTGCTGGTTTCATCACCCGGAAGCAACTGAACACTTATCCTTATACATGATGACTCTGTTTCCGATCTTTGGTGGGCAAACCACTTTGGAATAATACTTGTTTCAAAGTGGCCACGCTTTTCTCGCTTGAGTGAGAACCTAGCAAATTCCATAATTTCCGTCGTCTTTTTTCGAGTACCCATCAATTTCTTTTGTTCAAGGAAGCTATGATACTCTGAGGCATATATTGGACAAACTCCACAAGCTTGGATCGAGCAATCATTTCTTGTTATCCTGAGAACACCATCGCTGTACGTAACAGAGAACTCAAACGAAATCTTTGGGTTATATTTGATGTCTTCATATTTTGTGAAGACGGCATAATCACACCATAGAAAAACGTGGTGCGAATTAAGTTCTGTGCAACTCATGTCAAATATCAATCTTGGACCCTTCATACCATCTTGATAAAAAATTTGACATTCCAAGTGGTTCTGAGCGCTTTGCTCTGGGATGAATTGTGGAAGAAGAGAGTAGACAATGAAGCCCGCCAAGTTGTTGGCAGGGGAGGGAAGTTCAATAGTTATGAAGTTGGAAGCCTCGGTTGTGAGATTATCTTTAAACGGCTATGCAACATTTTGTCCTGGGTAACAAACACCGCCTCTCTCATTTGTATATGCCCTTCGTTTCAATGAGAAATAAGCACATTCTGCAAGATTGGAAAGAGATTGCTCATCCAATTTTGAGCAATTCTCTAGATACAAGAAGTTTAATTGTTGTGTATAAGTTATTGAAGGGACTCCAGTCTCCAGTAATATGCAATTGGTAGCTTTAACTTGTTGAATGAATGGTGGAAGTTCTGGTAGAGAACAAAGACTCTGACAATTGGTCAAGTCAATGTATTTTAGGTTTAGAAGATGCTTGATGGTCGTAGGCAAGCTCTTTACATCAATCCCTTCAAGTTTCAATGATTCTAATGATGATAAGAAGTCCATGTATTCAGGGAGTAGGCATTGTTGGCAACCAGAAAGATTAAGCTTTCTAAGATTTCTGAGATAGCCAATTGAAGGGTGCATTAAACCTTGCATTATCTTCTGAGGCAACCAAATCTTCAATGATGAGCAATTGGCGGCATCTAACTTTTCAAGGGATCGTGGAAGCCTTGGTAAAGATTGAAGGCTCGTGCAATTCCTTAACGAAAGCTTTTCCAGCCACTGGAGGCGCTTTACATTTTTGGGAAGTTTAGTTAATTTAGAACTCCCATCCAATGTAATATTTCTTAGGGATGTCAAGGCGCGAAATAGGATAAGTAACTTCGATTTGTCAATCATTTCTCCACAATTATAAAGGCGAAGATCTGTAAGATGTGCCAAGCAATGAAATGTTTTCACTGGAAGATTTTTTAACTTTGAGCCATTAAGGGAGAACATTGAAAGATATTTGAGATGCCCAACCGGTGAGCCCAATATTTCGATGCCTGTATTTTCCAAGTATAAACTTCCGAGTTTCTCAGATGACAATGAAAATTCTTTGAGACTATAGCAACCATTGACTTCATGGGAAAATTGTCCTATCGAAGATACCTCAATGAATTGGGGAATAAGTTGGGTCCTTTATCAATAATGCACGAACTTTCACCTCTAGATGTAGGTGAATAGAGTTTGAGAAACCTTAAATTAGTCATTTTTTTTAAAAGTATTGACATTCAAATGCATATCTCCAACTTGAGATAAATTTACAATTATGCCTTTAATAGCATTAGTTCCCTGCATAAAACAAAAATTCAAATAAGTAAATTACAATATATTAGCAATTATTTTCACTTATTATTAGATTTCTTGTTGGAAATGAAAAGCGGTTTTTTTTCTTACCCGATTATATTTTAATACGTCATAGATCTCATAAGGATTCCATAATCGACTACGTCTTCCAGGATCTTCCATACACTCTTGACGAACAATTTTCCAACCCATGGCTTGAATCAAATCATGCATTTGCACCCGTATATTGTTATCAATATTTACAAGTTCTTTATCCTCAAGGGCTGTCAAGCCAATTGTTGCATCAAAGCCATAGCTCTGAAATAGTGCTATTACATGTTCTTTGTGTTCATCTTTCAAGAAGCATGCATATCTAAAAACATTTCCTTCTCTTCATAATCTAAGCCATCAAAGCTCAATTTAAACACTTCTAGAATTTCTTCATGGGGACCCTTCTTTAGTTTTGACAATGCACTATCCCATTCCTTTAGAGTTTTTGAAGAAAGAAATGAAGCTAAAACTACCAAAACTAATGGGATGCCTTTTGCATAATCAACAATCCTTTTTGATAGGAATTCATATCCAATTTCTGGATGGTATGTGTTGAAGGCTTTGAGATTGAAAAGCTCTGTAGATTTGTGATCACTCAAAGGCTAGGCCTCATATATTTTAACTCCTACAATGTTAAGCAATTGCTTATGCCTTGTTGTAATGATGATTTTACTGCCAAGTTTCAAGTAATTACAATACAGAGCTAAATACTCTAATTGTTTCCTATTGTTAATATCATCAAGCACTATGAAAACTTTATTATGACTTAGTATTTGCATGATGTAAGAACCTTCATCAACATAAAGTGGCCTATTATAAGAACTTTCTAGCTTCCAAAACTCAGAGAAAAGTTTATCATGAAATATGTCAATCCACAGTTTTTCACATTTTCTCTTAAATTCTCCAAAAAACAACTCCTCTCAAATTGGGAGGAGAGTTTGAAAAATAAAGCCCCAGCCATGGTTGTTTTGCCTATGCTGCCCATCCCGCAAATTCTAATTTTTGGATCTTTCTCTAATAACCTTTCTATCCTGGCACAATTTTCATCAATTCCAACAAGACCTGCTACTGCCCGTGAACTTGGACACTTGACACTAATGTTTTGCATAACATGGCTGATAATGTTTTGAACGAGCTTTGATTCGTCCCTGAAATATTAAAAAGAATAAACAAGCCCAAAGGAAAGTATTATTATTATATTATTGTAATATATAAAAAGATGTTGGTTACTTTTTTGTAATTTAGTTTTTATGCTGTTGCATAAAAAATTAATTTGGAGCTAATAAAATACAGTTATGATGAGATGACACTTTTTTGTAGCATTCTAAAATATAAAATAGGATAAATTAAAATAATTAAGGGATTAAATTAGTTAATTGAAGTCTTTATTGGGTTAATTAGTGTGGATAGATGGCTGTTGGGTCAATTATCACTACGTTTTTGACTTCTAGCAATAAGTTTGCAACAGTTCTAAAAGTGTTGCCTAATACATGAATAAGCAACAGTTTCATATACGTTGCTATTGATTATCACTCTAAGCAACATTTATTTGGCAACAATTGAAAACTGTACTTTAAAATGGAATAGGTTATAATTGTTAACTATTGACTGTTGCCTATAAAACTTCTTTTTTTTTTTTTGCAATATTTGAAAACTATCCCCTATTTCAATAGGCAATAAAAAAATAAATGTTGTTTTTAAATGTTCCTTTTCACAACACTTAAGAGTTGTTGCCTATTGTTTACCTATATAAAAAAAGCTATTTAATTTCATTTTTATCCAATTTTTAACATATTCTTATTACTTTATTTATTATTTAATTAATTTAATATTTCATTTCTTAAATTAATTCAAAAGTTACTTTAAAAATTATATCTATCAATAATATTTTGTAACAAATAACATAATAGTAATGTTGGAAGAATGGTTAAAGGCTAGACTTATATCCAAGAGGTCCAAGGTTCAAATCCTAGGTAGGAGAAGAAATATTAAATTTTACCTATTTTAAGTTTGTGCAACAATTCTTAATTATTGCCTATTCTTATAGAAAGGCAATAGTTCAAAACTATTGCAATAGATTGACATGAAAACTATTACTTATTGTTATATTTTAAGGCAACAGTTTTTGCTAAGTGTTGCCTAAAATTTAGATAATAGGTAACATTGGGAATATACAACAGTTGAAAAATGTTGCCTAAAGTCAAAGACAACAGTTTTTAAAGTTATAGCAACAATTTTGAATTGTTGTTATAAAGCAAAAGTATTGTAGTGTATATTGAACTCTATATGGGAACTAAAAAAAACCATAAGTGTTCTTGGGCCACCTTGGGCTTAATTAAAGGGGCTAACTTAGGGTTTCTTGCTCTGTATTTGCAATTTTCCAAATTGCAATCCTTGAATTACTAAGGGATCAATTAAGCTTGATTATGATAATTAAGTAAATTGATGTACTATGTGGCCAAAAAAGTCTATGATTAATTTTTGGTTGTGTTTTAGCCCTAATTATGAATTTGAAGTGAAATTGAGCCACCCGGGCATTGAAAGGAGGAGAAAATGTGAAGGAAGCGTGTTTGTGCCACACGTCGTAGTGTTAAATACATTCGTCACAAAACATAAACAACAACTGAAGCAAGAGGGGACCTTTTTGTGCCATTCACTATGGCACACAGCCCTTTTCTACAGAATATTAGTTGCGAACTACAAGAAAACTGAAGAGGAGAAAAGGGAAGAAATGAAGGACCAGCAAGAAGCTCTACTAAGGTTCATTTTTAAAGGGTAATTGAGACATTTTGGAGCTAGAAACACCTAAGATAAGTATCATACACTCCATTCCTCCTTATCCCTTTCATATTTATAGAGTTTTTAGTTAAGGTTTAATAATGGGAGATGATTTTTAGTCGATATAGGTTATGGATTAGAATTTGTTGATTCAAATAGAGTTAATAGGAGTTGATTCGAGTATTTAAACCTAGAATTAATGAGTTTTGACATCTTTCATTGGTAAATGTCATTAATATTTATAAATGACATTAATGAGGGTTGTTGGAAGACTTGTAATATCACTAATAGGAGTTTAAAGGCTCATTAATGTTATTGGAGACTAAAGAGAGTTAATAAACTTAATGATTAAGCCCAAAAGTGAGAAACATAGGCATTAAATATTCTAGAAGTAAAAGTGTGAGAATTGAAACCTTGCTCCTGACAATGTTGATGAGATTAAAAATTTATGGATTGTGGATTGAGCATTTGGGCACCATTTCAGCTTGAGAAGTCATGCTTGGAAGCTAAAATATTATAGGAGAAAACCTTTGACTCTCAAAGGTTTAAGGTAATCGGAGTTACCTTGCTTTGGATAGTTGTATGTTAATTGTAATATAATGTGGAATATGTATTTATCTTGTGAATTTATGATTTGTGAATATGTGTAACATGGAATGAAGCCATGTGATTATGTAATTGCTTTGGTTTGAAATAAATATGTGAACGTTATTGTAAAGTAAAATTCAAAGTTGCATGGTAACATTAAAATGAGTAATTAATGATTGAGAATGATAATGATGAATGTGCTATGATTGAAAATGAGTAATATATGTGATAAATGTGAAGATAATGAGATTTGATGCTCACTTGGGTAGCGCA